AGCCCAATCCGACACCTAGTGCAGTATCATAATCGAGTCTAGGGGTCGGGTGTAATTTTCCAGTTTTGCCCATCAATCTCCAAGGTCCAGGGCAATACTGGAAATCTGGTCCTGTTCATAGATTCAATTAATCCTACACTGTATGTGCCTAGGGTCTCACCCTGGCAGCTGAGACAGGCTACCCCAACCGACTTGGTGGCACTACAGTGTCAGCCTTATCAGGATAGGTCTCCCCAGATCGTCCCACTGGCTGTGAACATTCTAAATTAACACGAGTCTCATTAAGTGTCCGGTTTAAGGGTATTGCACAGAAACATACCAAGGGAACATGAATCAAATTTGCACTTTTGTTCATTTACAATAAACTCATAAAGTACATCATTCTGATTGAAGCTAAGGGCATACAAAACTGTCTAACATTAATAGGGTGGCTGAATAAAGATAACAGTAGCCTATGGAATTACAGTAATGAGAGGAAAAGGTTTAAGTGGCTGGTGAGGGATATGGATGTGAAGATGAGGTGGGTTCAAAGATTGGCTAATTCCTTGGCTGATGGATTAGCTAAACAAGGGGTAGAAAGGGACTCAATGTTTTGGGCCAATTTGTAAACTATTGTTTCCATTTCCTCTTCTTTTCTTAAGTTCTCTAGCTGTATGTGGAAGACAAGAGTGCTTGTCTTCTTCTTTGTAATCATCTTTATCCTTAATTAATGAAATTGCTAATGAATGCGTTATTGATAAAAAAAATCTGAAGCTAGAATCTTATACAAATGTAGATTGGGCAGGTTGTTTAGATGGCAGGAGATCTACATCAGGAGTATGTACCTTTGTAGGTGGAAACTTGATCTCATGGAAGAGTAAAAAACAAGCAGCTGTGGCTAGGCCAAGTGCAGAGGATGAATATAGATCCATGGCTCATGGTGTCTCAGAACTACTTTGGGTTAGATCCCAATTGAGCGAGATTGGGGTAAAAGTAGAGGAACCTATGATGTTACACTGTGACAATCAAACTGCAATCAATATTGCCCACAATCCAATTCAGCATGACAGGACAAAACACATTGAAGTTGATAGGCATTTCATAAGAGAAAGGGTAACAACTGGAGAAGTTTGCTTGCCTTATGTCTCTTCAGAGTTGCAGTTGGATGATGTCCTCACTAAAGGGGTTGCAAAGAACAAGCTTGAACATGATTTACGCAAGTTGGGAATGTGTGACATTTACTCCCAACTTGAGGGGGAGTGTTGAAGATTTAGTCAGTTTTTGTGTTGTTTTAGGATTAGTTGTTTTATGTTAATTGTTAAATAGGAAGTGGGGACCACAACAGTTGTGTTGGGTCCATTATTTATTAATTCTTTAAGCCATTTATGTGTTTTCTAGTGTTTGCCGCCCTATAAGGGCATAGTAGTCATTGTATTATATTTCTAATATAAATATTAAGTGAAGGGGGCAGCAAGATTATGCTCTCTTTTTCTTTCTCAAGTTCTTCTCATCTCTTCTTCTTCTCTCCTTCAAGAAAATACTTTTCTTTCATAGTTTTTTAATTCAGTAGATTTCTACTTGTTCCAATCATGTTACTCTTATAGATGATACCATTGCTCCTATGGGACCATCTTCTGATACTCCTACGCTAGCCTCCATCACTGTACAAGGAAGGAGATTATGTCCATCACCCATGAAAAGTGAACAACTTTGACAGTTTGTTCCTTCCTCAAGTAACACGACTACTCTTGCTCAAACAGGTATTGCATGCCTCGCCTCACAAAAGCCTCAGACATACACTTGGGTAGTTAATTTTGGGGCTCCAGATCATATGACTGAATTTCTAGGATGGTTCTCTATCTCATTCATCTACTTCCTAGTTTGTTACCCTTGTTTATAGTAAGCACTACATCATAAATTTCTGGTATTGGTAATGTGACCCTTGGCTCACCCTTATTTTATTTTAAACATTCCCAAATTTCCATTAAATTTGTTGTCCTTAGTAAATTAACCAAGTCTTTTCATTGCTTAATATCTCCTAGGTGAAATTCATGCAAGAACATCACCCGTCAAAATGCTTGTTTTCTCACTCTCAAATTCAACTCTTATATTACGATCATGATAGGAAGTCCAGGAGCACTATGTTTCCTCGTTTTGAGTGATTAAAAATCAATACCAGGGTACAAAGAACCATCTGATACCTCAAAGTGGCATGAACAAATCTTAAGTGGATGTTAAAAAAATAAAGGCAAGTCTCTGAAAGGGGCAGGCTCATGTTAGGTCTTGTTAAGTATCACATATATTTTTTGTATATTTTATCAACTTTCCTTTTGATTGTTATGCCCAATGAGATTGTTCAGATGTTTTGGTTTACAGGTATAAAAATTTGAAACCGGACTCAATATTCATGTTCTGGAGTTTGGTATCCACTTGTACCCAGTGTTGGTAAACAAGAAAAAAAAATGATTTAACCTATAAAATAAGGTGGCAAGCCTACAATGGCTAAGCTATAATATGAAAGAATACATCTTAAATAATAAAACAATAGTGTCTTGTTTATAATGCCATATATTATTCCAGGTGCTTTTTTTTTTTAATGTTTTGTTTTGTTTCTAATCATAACTCCTGTATTCTTCTTTTCCACAGGAAACTTGCCCTCTGGTAAAGAATATACTACTTCTGGATTCTGAAGGGAAACGTGTAGCTGTCAAGTACTATTCAAATGACTGGCCAACAAACAATGCCAAGTTGGCCTTTGAGAAATCTGTCTTTACTAAAATTCAAAAGACAAATGCCCGTACAGAAGGTGACTTATTTCTCCATTAGCTTGTTTGTCGTCGGTCAAAAATCAGATGTGTCAACAGTGTTTTCAGTTTACCTGACTTTCTCAGCAATTAAATCAGTCAACTGAGATAATTTTTTATTTTTTGAAAGAAGATAATGGAATTTCATTATGATAGAAACTGGTACATGAGAAGATGTACAACAGCATCAAGGCTCGCACAAGGGAACACGAGAATTACATGGATAGAACTGTCACTATACAGAGACTCCCTAAGAATACCAGGTTTAGCTAGAGCATCTGCCCATGAATTTAACTCTCTCAGGATCCAAGTAAGATAAACTGTCATTGTAGCCAAGTTATCTCTTGCCCTGGCCAAGTAGTGAGTCAACCTCCAGGGAGCCCCCTCCGTTTCACCTAACCAAGTGATTATGTTTTCTGAGTCACCTTCAATGGGTAAAGTGGAAATGCCCAAACCTCTTGCTATCTGTAATCCAGTTAAGGCTGATAAAACTTCAGCATCAGCTTTAGATGAATCAGCTATCTTAATCAGACCACTGAAAGCCTAACAAATGGTGTCATTCCTCCTCCAATATCAGCTGCACCTGGGTATCCTAGAGCATTTCCATCAAAATTTAGTCTTATCACTCTTCCAGTCTAGAGATAGGGCCCCTAGAAGGAAGCAAAGTCATTGAAGAAGAGTGTAAAATTCTCCTAGTTCCCACAAAGAATTTCAAAAAACTGGTCAGAAGTACATGGCCCTCGTACTCGGCACATAATTTGTACAAAAATTAACATCTGTGTGCTTAAATTGATGGAGCAGGACAGTCCATCAGAGCCCTGTGAAATGTTCTTGTACATTGTTGAGCTGTACTGCTTATCCCTTGAGATCCTATCCCTGATCTAACAGAAAAGCCAAATATGCCTTTTTCTTATGCTTTGGCTCATCTCCTGTTGGTTGTGTTGCAATGATGCTTTATGACTAATTATTTATTCCACCTCAGGATGGCATCAATCTTAGCTCTTTGTCAAATGGTCTCTCATCTTCTGAAACTGTTTCAAAAGTCTTGCATTTTTAACAATATTTCAATATTGATAGTAGCACACAAGTTCCCATAGAATAGTAAGAATTTCAACAGTAACAAATACTTCTTCCAAGTTCTTAGAATTATATGGTAGAGTTTTGGCATCTAGTCTATTATGTTTAGTTGGCTTGCAAAGAGCTAATATATTCTGATCCATAGTTCAAGTTTTTGTTTCTTCTTAACTAATGAATATGCTTCTATTTCACCATCACAGCTGAGATTGCAATGATTGATAGCTACATTGTTGTCTACAAATCTACTCAAGATCTATACTTTTGTGTAACTGGTGGTGATGATGAGAGCGAGATCATTTTAGCAACAGTTCTTGATGGGTTCTTTGATGCAGTCACTATTCTCCTCAGGTCCTGGTTGTCATAGTTGTGCACTTTTGTGTTTTCTTCTTTGCCTTTGGTTTGTTACCATCTCTAATTTGGTTTCTTACCATGCATATTCTTGATCTACCAGAGAAAATGTCAATAAGATTGCAGCACTTGAAAACTTGGATCTCATCTTCTGTTGCCTTGATGAGATGGTTGATGGAGGGTATGGACAAATGTGCCTCTCACATAATTAATGCGTAGTTAACCCTTCACTGATATTTGTGTTGTGATTTATCTTGCATTATTATTTAGATATGTTATTGTTCTTTTTCTTATTTCACATAGGCCGGTTTTCTTTTCCAAAAACAAATGTTATATTCCCCAAAAGAGGTATACACTATACAGTACCAACCCTTGAAGAGGTGATGCATGGGAGATTAAAAAGAATCTTCAATTTTTGTGGATCATTACCTCTAATTAGTACAAACATAAGAAAAGGTTCCTCAAGGCATTGTAGAATCAAGAGCATCTGCCTGTAGGCTTTAGTGGGTAGTATCTTCACAATCCCCATAAAGGCCTTTGTTTGACTTTCTGAAAGGCCTGAAATCAAAACCATGTGTCCTTGGTGCAAAGTATTGGCTCCAATCCACCAAATGAGTGAAACGACACTTGTTTTTTCTTTATCAGTTCTATTGTACAAGACATTCCTTTTAGCCCATAGGAAGCAGGGAAGAACAAAAGAAATTATTCTGGAATATACAAAACGATACCTCAAGTGAAGTCCCTGCTTATGGTATGGAACATTTCCCTTATGTATGGCTGATCTTCCAGCCTGCAGGTCATGTTGAAGGGTTCAAATTAGGCACCTTTCCAGGCATCACCTTAACAACTAGATTCAACAAGAAGAGCTTTGTCTGCTTAGTGTAGTTAGCAATCATCGATGGCATGTCAATGGAGAAGTGAGTGGACGATTGAGAAGAAGAGCTTCATCTTAGAAGAAGGTAATAGTCGAAATCAATTGATTTTAAAGCTCAGGAAGAAGGGAGAGCCACTATCTTTTTATTAGGAGAAGCAGTTCAGTGGCTGAAAGGCTTCACTGGTGGAGCTCTACTTGCTATTAAGATGGATGGGTGGAAAAGCTATTTGAATCTGCCAAATAGAAAGTATCAAGTGACCCGAAGATACAACCGAAAAGGGTGCTTTCTGGAGATTATGGGATTCTTTGGAAGAAATAGACAACAACGCATTTGTATCCCAGAAGGAAAAAGAGGCTGGGGTGGGAGATTGGTGTCTCAGAAGCTTCAAAATTTTTTGGTTCTCAAGGCAGATGATTTGGCCATCTATAGATTGCTGGCCTTCAATGGAGGAGAACCTTCTGAGCTCTTTTCCGAGAGTCCTTGGTGTGAAGGAGATCCTGAGTGCAATGACCTCGAGTAAGTCCGTCAACACTTCTCGATGGCTAATAAGTGAGAGGAAGTACAGAAACAAATATTGGTTGTTAGTCTAGGAAAGCTTAACGATGGTAGAGGTTCGGAAAGAGGACAGATTTTAAAGGCTGAGAAAATGGTTCCTGATTGGCAGCTGATTGTGGAGGCTATTATGAAGAAGCTACTTGTACCCTCTTGAGTTTATCCTTTTGATGACAAAGATCTATTCTGGATACAGGGTTGATAATGGTTAATTTCAGGTCTGCAGAGACTGATTTAGGGGTGGTGGAATTAGAAAATTGGACATTCTCATAAGGTGGAGGTTGTGGCTAGAGCTTTTGAGATAATTATTTTCGGATTACCTTTCACATTATGGAAGAAAAATTCCTTTCAAAGAATCTCTCAAGCTCTTGGGGGTTCTCTTCTAGAGGTCGACACAACCATTTTGTGAGCAGTGAGGATGAAGATCATTGGAATTACATCGGTGGACGTTCCTCGTAGTCGTATGATTGACATTCTTGCCAATGGTCTTGGCACCAAAGTTTGGTTGGTGACAGAATATGAGTCGCCGTTATGGAGGAATGGGATGGAGATTGAAGACAATGATGACCTGGCATTTATGAGCACACATGGCGATAGAGGTAAGAAAGGGGATAAAGATCTGTATGGCATGCTTTTGGAAGGAGAAAAGTTGAATTTGGGGCCCAACACGAGGTAGGCCTAAAAAATGAATGTGATACTAATTTTTCTAGTGGTAAATTTAATTCCATGAGTTAGATTTCCAACGCCAAAGTTACCAGGGATGGGGCTCGGTTAGGGGTGGCAACGAGCTGAGCTTTTCACGAGCTGCTCGAGCTCGGCTCAACTTGAGCCCAATTCATTGGCTCGATTATAAAACGAGCTGAGCTCGAGCATACTAGAGCTTCGCTCATGAGGCTCGCAAGCTGGCTCGAATATATATATATATATATATATAATAAAATTATAGAAAATAATATATATAATAAAAATATTATAATTATTAATTATTATAATTCTTAATTTTTTAAATATCAAATAAAAAATATTTTTATTATATAATTTTTTATTTTTATAAAATATTTTTTCTCAAAATTGAGCTCGAGCTTATGAATTTTTGACTCGAGCCAAGCTCGAGCTCAAGGTTCTGGCTCGAACCGAGCTCGAGCTCGAGCTCGAGCCTTGTAGAACAATCTCGAGCTGAGCTCGAGCCTGGTACTATTCGGCTCGGCTCGAATCCACCCCTAGGCCCGAATATGCCGATCTGAGCCGGATGGGGGACTACCCCAATCAAATCTTATGCTTGGGAATATTGGAGAAATATTTAATATGGCTCCACTGGATACTGTGCCAATCCAGATGTGCATGCGGGCCCCAGATAATGGGTGTGAGAAAATTGGTCCAAGTGAGTCATTACAAAGGCATCTGGCTAAGTTTATAGATAGTAGTTCTTGTCTATCATCGTCTAATGTTACCTAGTTGGTTCGATCAAGGTCTTACTGTCCTAAAAGACTTTTAAGAAGAGGTTAGGTATTTAAGTACTAATCGTAGTGGCAGAAGGGAGATTTGTAGGTTTGGAAGAGGTAAAGCGGACAAAAGATTGAATTTAGGCCCCAATAGAGCAATTTTTAAAAGAGATAGGACGTTTGGAGGGTGTAGGTGCCATAGACTCCATGTTCAGCATGGCTTGGTCAAACCTCTGAAGGTCTAAAGAGAACGATAGGGAAGAGAGGAGAGGAGGAAGAAAGAGAGATCTTCTGAGAAACCATAGGGTTGGGGTTATATGGTTGCCCCCGTGGGGAAGAGTTGTTCCCTTTTTTATAGGGAGGACAACAAGGCTGTAAGGAGAACGATTTAAAAGGAGACCTTTCTTATTAGGAAAGGGGATCTTTATCTTTATGTTGACTATTAAGGGAGCACCATTGGGATTTCACCACGTGTCCAGCAAGATCCTTCAAAGACAAAGTTTCCTTTCTCTTGAAGATTCTCATGTGGCACGTGTAGGGTATCTTATGGGTTTCCTTATAACCACGCGTTAAGGACAAGATCTGAATCTGACTGGTGTGCTTGGGTGTTTGCTCAATCAACTTCGAGATGCCTCATCATAGCTCGTTGTGACCAGAAGGAATGTCAATCTTCCGTAGGCGGGTGTTGTCGGCCTTAGGGGTGTCAATGGACCGGTTTTGGGTTGGACCCGTCCAAATCAAAATCCATTTGGATGGATTGGATGGACCAATAAGACATATTGAATTTGGACAGACTGGATGGACCAATATGACATTGGATTGAACCTGGTCCGTCCATAATGAATTTATATTAGATTGAACCAATATCCAGTCCATTGATAGAAGATAAGAACATAAGTGTCAATGGTCTAGGTTTGAGTTGAAATCAATCTAAGTTAACAAGAATTAGAACAGATTGGACAACATCTGGATCAGTCCAAAATGGTCCAAAATGTTCATTGGACTGGATTGGACCAGGTCCATTTGTAATGGACTCTCATTGGACTGGACCGGATTGGACCAAATCCAGTCCAATTGACACCCCTAGTCGGCCTCGGGGTTTACCATTCATTATAGCATGGGCTGTCGTTTCGTGTCCATCGCAAGGTGCTAGTAGTGTATAGGGTTTATCTTAGACTGGCGATGCCATTTTATGTCCATCGCAAATCTCAGGCAACATTTATTGTTCATCATAGGTTCCAAGAGGTGTTTTATGCTCATCGCAGGTCTTGGATGGCTCTGTGTGCTCATCGCAAGTGTATGAGCTTTCCATTGCTTTGATAGAGTGTTTTTGTACCATTATAGGGGTATCTGGGCCGGGATTCCTCCATAAGGTTTTTCCTTTGACGTCCTCATCGTAATCCCAGTGATGGTAAAATACATGTAAACATGTACTTACAATTGCCCCCCCCCCCCTACTTATTGACAAGTGTATTCTTACCAATAAGCATCCTTCATAGTTTTGTCTTCTATTTGATCTTACAAGCATGATAGGTAAGGCAATGTCTGGCAATTTGCATCTTGTAATTTGCGTCCTGTTGGGGGTGACGAAATTATTCAGTGTTTATTCATCGAAATTAGGTGTCACTTGGCTGGCGGCAAAAATTGAAACAAATCTTTGTTCATTTCATTATTTGCTATGAGAGTGTAACCATTTTGTTGTGTTGTGTCCTTAGGCTTCTAGGTTGGCTTTGTTGCATGTCATAAAATGCGGAACATGAAGATTTGTACATGGTGGTTCTGAAGGGAGGGAATGTTGTCATTAGTGCCTTTGTTCGATGGTGGTTATGATTTGATGTGTCTTCTCTCATATTAGCCCCTCCGTTTCTTGATAGAAGTCATTGTATCAAGAAACACTTAAAGTAAATAGCCAGTTATTTTAATGTTTAGCCCCCCTGTATCTTGATAGAATGTCTTCTATCGAGAAACACCTAAATGCGGTTTGTTGGGTGTGGTATCTTTGCTGTCCCCTTATGTTAGTGGGAGGGAGTTGAGTCACCATGTGTGCTTAGCGGGCAGCCCCCCTACATTTTGATAGAAGGCATTATATCAAGAAACAAGTAGTAGAGCATCTAGGCAATGGTTTAAATTTTCAATTCTCTATGGCTAGATGGAAAGAATTCTGTCAAGAAGTATGTCAAATTGAATTCATAGCCCCCCTTTTTTCTTGACAGAAGGCATTCTGCCCAAAAAAAAAAAAAACATTCGAGAGAGAGATGGTCGAGTCCATTTTGGAGCCCCCACATTTAAATTCTTCTAGGGTTGGGCTGATC